TTTTGGTATGAAAGAGGGCAAGGCCCAAAACTAATGAAGGGAGTAATGAAGCAACTGTGCAAGAGCAAAATGGGCTATGGATCATTAGAACATCACTGTATAAAGCCTCAACATAACTTCGGCTCCCAGACCAGAAGAGTGTCTAAGCATTCACTGATCCAAGGATAAAACCGCCAAGTGTCGTCCAAAAAGTGTCGTCTTGGTTGGATGGCAGAATATGGCATCAGCCAGGTCACCCGATACAAGATTCTTTTTTCTGGCACAGAAGTTTAGCAAAAGAATAAGATAAAAAACGGTTCAAAAAAGGAGAGAGCCTAAAGTGATGTGACCATACTAAACTGTGCTCTGCTGTTTACTGCCAAAAATAAGTTTATTTATGGGTCTCTGTGTCAGGACGTCAGGAAAGAAAGAAGAGAGACTGGAGCTTATTCATTCATGCATAATCTGTCTATCCATAGAAAATGAGCCTAGATTATCGCCCCTGCCCTACGGCGCTACTTACTTCTGTAGTGATGAGAGGCACGTGTTGCTAGAGTTCATCAGAGAATGATGAAGGATTCAGGACATCTGCTTCAATTAGTTGTTGAATGAAGCTTCTATTTTGTGTGTGTGTGTGTGTGTGTGTGTGTGTGGAGCTTAGATATGTTTCTGTCATATGACTAGCCTTCTGAATTTTAAAGATTGTTTGGAAGTAGAAAATGGGCGTCCTCAGGAGCACAGGTAAACTAGTATATAATATCATAGCCGAATGTAACATATAACAGAGGATAGTGAAGAAAGCATCAGCTCTAACCAGGAGTAAACAATATTTTATCATAGACGAAGATCTAAGTCAAGCTTACTTCCATCAGATGGTTGCTTTGGTAAATTAACCCGAAAGCTCCCGGGCCAAATCAAATCCATGGCTTGTTCTATCATAAGAGGTGGCCATGCCATTCCAAACCCAGAGCCAGAATTGGCAACTCCAGAAAGAGCAGCCACAGCAGACCCTTCCCTGCTTGGTTTGTGCGTAAGCGAATGGGCATGGAGACCCAGAGACTTGGCTGCCAAAGAAGTGCACGGTAAGCCGATTGTAGTCTTCATCATCGTCACTATCGTCTTTTGAGTTTGGTCCCTTCTGGCTGCTCTTCTTTCTCTCTTGTGCGCATTCTGGTGACCCCCTAAGGCCTGTGAACTATGAAACTTCCTCATGCAGAAATTGCATGAGAACAACCTGTTCTTGAGACGTTTTGACTGGGGATTTGGGTTTTGAGTTTGATCAACTTCCTCAGGAATGCCTTTCTTGACTCCTAAACTCAACCATTCTCCGAAGTTACCCTCTCCAGCCACACTTACGAAGTGGCCCATTGTCTTTGAGCCATCATCTGCACGTTCGTTGATGGGTTTTCTCATCTGTTTCATCTTCCCTGTAAGAAGTCATTGTGCTCTCTCTTTCTAATCAGAACTTCAGATCATAGGTTTGAGGCAGAGCGGTGGAGGGGCTTAGTAATGAAGGGTGTTTGCCCTTAAATAAGTAACACGGAAGTGTAGGAAACTTGAATTTCATCTGGTAAATTATCTTTTAACATGATCTCAGCTTTATCTTCTGTGTTACCACTGAGTGATGCATACACTTTCAAGGGGGGCAGTGCTCTAGGTGCTAATGTCATCTTATGGTGTTGGCAATTTATGTCTTCAGATTCTCTCTTGTCGTGAACCTTACACTTGTTACAGCATATAAAAAAGAGTTCTGAATGGATGGATAAAGACTAGACTGTTTAGCTGTTGAAAGTGCCGTGTACTGTTAGGTTACAGTTTAATTTCATCCTTCTAGTGTCATAGAATAGCATTTTTTTTCAAGGCCACAAGTCAGACAACAAACAGAAACCTCAAGTCAAAAGATTCAGAATGAAAGCCACCATCTACAGTAGATAACAATGAATGACTTGTAAATAACTATCTAGACCACCAGAATAAAAACCTCCCCATGTGAAAAAGATATGTTCTTGACACTATTCCACTTGGCAGACCTGTTGATGAAAGAAACCAACTCCGGCAACACATTTCCACTTTTCAATTTGGGAATCGACTAATTCAGAGATAGTGATAGTGAGTAGGCTTCCATCTATAAATTGTACAAAATGATTATTGTTTACCATAATTTTAGTGGACCATATAGGAAGTGAATTTAGAGCCACTTATGCTTATTCTTAAATTCAGAAATTTCCTGTTTTGCTGTTGCTACTGAAGTTTATAATTTACCTGGTAATGATGATGAAAGAGCGGTGATGCTTCACGCCTTGTGTAGATAAAATAATTGTAAAACTGAATGGATGGATCAGCAGACACTAACCCTATGTTTGGTATGAGGGAAATAGAAGAAAGAGAAGAGGAGAAAAATTTTCATGAGCTCGATTTAAAAAATTAAAAAATAGGGTTATAAAATTTAATAAAAAAATGTAAAACAAAAAAATAATTAAAAGCTTTTAACTTACTTCATTAATTTTTTAAATCAAACTCATTAAAAAATTTTTCTTTCCTCTTTTTATTTCTATTTTCCTCGTACCGAACCGATGATTATTATCTTATTGGAATATCTTAAAATTCTTAAACATATAGGGATAAAAGCCAAAAAGGCAGCGAGCTATCAATTAGAAGGCCGAAATCTGCCTCAGCTCAAAAGCGCAGCACCAATCTTTATTTTCTGCCTTTGGACTCAACGACGCGTATGAACTGGTGTTCAAGTGTGCTAGTAATTAATAGGTAACTTTCTAACAATTCGAATGCGAATGGTATCAAATCTAATACGGGACATATGATGAGTCAGAACCTCACCAAGTTGAAGCATTTTCTATAAAGATGGAAGCAAGCAGGCAACCATTACTGGTTCTGAATCAGTTATGTGGAATCTTCCAGTGGTTGGCTTATTCTAGTATGTCCCTATGGGAAAGGGAGTTTCTGCTTGGTCTGGTTTAAAACTGGAGGAATATGAGGTACTTTTTTTTATGTGTTCAATGTCAAGATAAGCCCAACACTACTTGGAGCTCTTTTATTCTCATCGATCAACTACTCACCATGAGGAGAATACTGCTACATACAAATGCTGTCCCCATTAGATTAAAAGTACTACTTGATATGATAAAATCCTTCAGTTACAAGCTGTTCATACGGTTCTGTTTTCTCTGTTTATATTCCAAAAATCTGAAAAGCATCCTCGTATCCCTTGGCCGACAAAAGAAATATGTGGGTTGTTTTCTAGTTTTCTAACTTTTACAAGACCGCACATGTCTGCGAAAACAATTATTAACAGGAATCGAATTGAAAATTCTAAAATCGATGCCTGGAATTAATCATGCGACAACCTCATGATAACTTCAGTTAAAAACCACCAAAAAAGTACATCCAAAATGTTTGTTGCACCGTAGAGACCAAATACGAACAGTTTGCTTCGAAAATGAGCAGCACAGATGCAGTTAGTTTGTATTCAAGTGTTGTTAGTATTTTTAAGGCACAGCAAGCGCGCATAACCTATTTGCACAGTAGGGATTCACGTTACAGGAAGGAAAGTGAATTATCAGGAAACACACATTTCATGAACCGTTGCTTCCTTCAAAACGTTGGCATGTGTTATTGCCAACAAACTAGCATCTTCTTTAATTTCTCAGGTGGTCCCAATATCGTGGAATTTCTAGCTTATTTGGATATTGTTGATATCTTTGAATATCCATGTAAGCTCTAACTGTTGATAATTTAATCGATTTTTAAAAGCTTTTGTCTTGCTTATCTTTTAACTTCAATATTGCTAATTTCTTAGCTAGGAACGCTCATGAATTTGAGGGAGATTTCTCTATGCCGGGTTAAATTGAACCAGCCGAAGGTTAGGGTGATTCACGACCTGTCGTTTCAACCAGGACATACAACCTCAAAGTTTTATCGGCAAATATTGTAACTGTTGCTGTGACTCCGAGACAGTTATGGTTATGGCTTGATTTCCATAGTCATAAACTTGAAAAGCCGTTAGACTAACAACTATGCCCGCAACCACTCTCTGCGCCACCCCATCATCACCGGCGGCAAAGAAAAACTGGTCATCTCAGTCATTACAACGTACTCCTCCTTCATCCTCTGTTACCCATTGTTCTGCTGCCGCGTCGTCGTCTTCCGGCAGTCATTTTCTGCAAGTAGACAGGGTTGCCTTCCTAATCGACAAGTGCAAATCTATTAATCAGCTTCTTCAAATTCACGCCGCTCTTCTTCGTCATGGTCTGAACCCCCATCCTATATTGAATTTCAAGCTCCAACGCTCTTACTCCTCCTTTGGCCGCCTTGACTACGCTGTTTCTCTCTTCGATCGAACTGATAACCCGAATGTGTTCTTATGGACTGCCATTATACACGCCCACACCCAATGTGGTCTTTCGGAGCAAGCCTTGGTCTATTACGCACAAATGCTGAGCCAATCTATCCAACCCAATGCCTTCACTTTCTCCTCTGTACTGAGAGGATGTTCGTTGGAATCTTGTAGAGCTCTCCACTCGCAAGTAATCAAATTCCGTTTTGATTCTGATTTGTATGTCACCACAGGGTTGCTTGATGCTTATGCCCGAGGGGGCGATGTTATGTCTGCAAAACAACTGTTCGATGCAATGCCTGAGAAGAGTTTGGTTTCTTTGACGGCCATGCTCACTTGTTATGCGAAGCATGGTCAGATTGAGGAGGCTCGCTTGTTGTTCGAAGAAATGGAAGAGAAGGATGTGGTTTGTTGGAACGTGATGATTGATGGGTACGCCCAGCATGGGTACCCCAGAGAATCGTTATTGCTTTTTAGGCAAATGTTAGGGGCAAAAGTTAAGCCTAATGAAATCACTGTGTTGTCCATTCTCTCTTCTTGTGGGCAGCTTGGAAGTTTGGAGCCTGGTAGGTGGCTCCATTCATACATTGAGAACGATATTCAGATCAACGTCCGCGTGGGTACGGCTCTGATTGACATGTACTGCAAATGTGGTAGTTTGGACGATGCACGCAAGGTTTTCGATGAAATGCGTGACAAGGATGTCGTAGCTTGGAATTCAATGATCATGGGATACGCCATTCATGGATTTAGCGAAGAAGCTTTTCGAATGTTTGACACGATGTGTAGCATAGGACTCTTACCCACCGACATCACCTTCATTGCCATTTTGACTGCTTGTGGACATTCTGGTTTAGTCAGCAAAGGGTGGAGTATTTTCAGTTCTATGAAGAATGAATATGAGATTGAACCGAAAATTGAACATTTTGGATGCATGGTAAATATTCTCGGCCGAGCTGGACGACTTCAAAAAGCTTACGACCTTGTCAGGAACATGAAGATTGATCCAGACCCTGTCCTATGGGGAACTTTGCTTTGGGCTTGTAGGCTCCATAACGAAGTATCTCTGGGTGAGGAAATTGCGGAGTTTCTCATGAGCCATGATCTAGCAAGTTCGGGGACATATGTAATTCTTTCTAATATATATGCTGCTGCTGGCAACTGGGATGGTGTGGCAAAAGTTAGATCACTGATGAAAGAAAGCGGAGTTGAGAAAGAGCCTGGTTGTAGCGTAATTGAAGTGGACAACAAGGTGCATGAATTTCTTGCTGGGGATTTAAGACACCCAAAGAGCAAGGAAATATATTTGATGTTGGAAGAGATGAACAGATGGCTGGAGATGAACGGTTATACGCCACAGACGGACGTCGTTTTACATGATTTAGGGGAGCAACAAAAACAGCTTTCCCTGGGAGTTCACAGTGAGAAGCTTGCCATGGCTTTTGGGCTTATCAGTACCCGAGGCGGGACCACAATCAAGATCGTCAAGAATCTCCGGGTTTGTTTGGATTGTCATGCGGTGATGAAGTTGATGTCAAAGATCACCAAACGTAAAATTATAATGAGGGACCGAAACAGATTCCATCACTTTGAGAACGGATCATGTTCGTGTGGGGATTTCTGGTGAACCAATTTAGTCCTGCATGAGCGCCATTTGAGAAGTACATCGCGGTGCTGACCTATTTGATCAGTTAGCCCTGGGGTTTGAACTTTGAACTTCGAACTTCAAACGCCGGTGTGAAGAAGTGGTGGGCCACCATGGTTGATAACTTATGGTCCGTATGAAATATTTGTAAGAATACGAGGTGATTTATAGAATACAAAATAAATATATAAAAAAATTTTATCTCAAATTTTGGTAAAATATGTTTATCAGGCGTTACTTGTAGCCTCATGCTGATGTTGATCTCGTTTTCATTGTTCTCATACTAAAGAGGGTGGTGGGCTTGTAGCAATAAGAGGATTGTAGAGGTAACTTTTCAAGCTCGTCCAACACACGTATACATTTTCCCCTCATTTAGAATGGACGTTTGAATATTAAACGATAAGTTAACACAAAATTTATGGGAATTAAAATGAAAATGCCATCAGATATTATATACTAGTTGACTTTTTTTTTTTTATGCCGGTTTCTGATTTCCCCCTATTCAACTTCTTGCAATAATTCATTATGTTGTCAATTTTCAAATATCATCATGCTCTAAACGTAATAGAGAAGACAAACGTAATAGGATCCAATTTTTATCTCTATTTCATTCTTTTACCATTCATCTCCATTTCATAATGAATTCATGATGGACTACTTTAAAAGATCAGATTCCAAAAATGCGAGACCCATTCTCACACTATCAAATCTGAAAATATAACTAAAGACAATAATGATCGGTAAAAAGGGAAAAAAAGAAGGTAAAAAAAAGGATAAAAATGAATAACTAAAAGGATATTTGAATAGAAATCAAACCATAATTTTAAAAGTGATTTTATGATATACGAAATAAATATATGATAAGAATTGTTTTAATTTGTGTGAATGCTTTCACAGCAAACCAAACACCCCCTAAATCCTAGAAGGGGGATTTCCCATCACCTTGTAGAAACCTAGAAATAATGACATCAATTTCAAAGAATTGTGGCAGAACAACTGTCAGTTGTACATTTTATTGCAATAACCTAGGGTGATGATGAAGAAAAAAGAAATCTAAGTGTAAGTGCAATTTCTATATTCAACTATGTAGACTTGTAGTCGTCAAAAGAAACAGACCAAAATAGACAAATAAATGGACAGAGAGGACCGAGAAAGAAGAAAAAAAAAGAGGCTACAAACAAGGGATTTCTTCTCACCTTATATTGCCAAAGACAGAAAATTTTAAGAACAGCAGCAGAACGATTTTTCAACCGCCCATTTTAATTTAATAGCCTTCGTTTTTCATTTTGTTCTTCTAATGACTCTCTGAGTAAGATCTATTAGTGCTCTTCTTGATCTTTTTACTTCTTCATCATCACTCTCAGGTAAAGAATCAATAGCTGCCGCTGCAAGGTTAGAATGCTTTATGGCTAGTTCCCTTGTCCTCTGTATACCTCGGCTTTTTCCCAGATAATCCAGAGCCTACGTTAACAAAAATATGCAATTTATGAATCAGCGCTTGTCAAAATATCACTCCGTCATGTCAAACACCCAAGAGTAGGTGCGGATATTAGCGTACCAATCGTAGACGTCTATAATATGTTACTCTCTCTGGTCCTAAATATAAGATCTATTTTGTAGTGTAATTTACACTACAAAATGAGTCTTATATTTAGGACCGGAGGAGTATATCATATTAATAGAATTAAATAATACAACTCATAAAACAAAAAAGAATAAACATGCAACTAGCACTGCTTCTCTGTTCAACTCGTGCACAAAATTTTAATTGCGACCCCAGATCCCTGGTTTTTAAACCACCTCATCCAAATTCTAACTAATTTGGGCTGAGAAATGTGAAATGGAATCAGAAAGGACGTAGATATATATATTAAAAATAAAGAATATAAATTGTTTCTGTTGTGTTGTATTTCCTAACTTTTTCAAAATAAGAGTGCATATATTCATATAGTTAATAACAATTGCAATATCTACATAATATATGTAGGTACTAACAACTGCAAAAAGTCCCGATGGGCATAATATGATAGGTGAAGGCTCATGAATGGTTTATTTATACCTCTAAAATGCCCCTTCATAAGAAAGCCCTTTGAGCTTTACACATGCAACAACCATAGACCCTGACCTCCCTCACCGCGGCCGGCCAGGAGGGGGTTGGGGGTTGGTTAAGAGACCCCCCTTTAACGTTTTCATCTCATGTCGAAGCATCACTTTGTACCAAAAGTCCAAAAAATACACAACCTAAAATCGGATGGTATTAAGAATGAAGACAAAGGAATATATTCTGAGCCGCTATAAGAATTAAGAAGTACCGCCCAATGACTTGCTTGACCTGAAATCTTAGGTCCTAAAGAGTCACGCAGTTAAAGAATAACTATACTGCCCTATGATTTGCTCAACCTAATAATACTGCCCCATGATTATCAGTACAGAACAATAACCAAAGTCTAAGATCTCAAAACCGCACCCCCAGATTTATTGGGAGAAAAATAAATGAAAATGAAAACAAGCATATCACTACAACTTACCAGGTCAACATTTGCATGGTTGTCAAAGCCTGCCTCAACAACTGCACGCAACTCAGGGAACTCCTCCATTGCAAATAATATTGGAGCTGTTACAATTCCCTGCAAGAATTTTATCAGGCCAATAATCATCTCTCAACTACACTTTAGATCATTGTGAAGTATAAAGTGAAAAGAGCAACTAAAGCAAAACATAAATTAGGTCATGGAAGCTTAAACGCTTAGATATACCCAACATTTAAGCTAACAGTAGAAGGTTCAAACAATTGACCCCCCCCCCCCCCGGTTCCCAAAGTATATGCATAAAAGAAGAGAGAAAAACGTGCTTCTGCTTATACTCTAATCTATTAAATAAATAAAAAGTCAGCACCGTGTACACAAACAAAAAATGAATTTTGAGGGTCTGACAAGAGAAGGTTTCCAGAAAAGAATTTAGTGTGTCTGGTTTCACATTGAAAACCAGCAAAACCTTGATTTTGATGGTTTCCAATGTGAATCTGAATGTGTTCTTACACGCTCATAAATATATTTAAAGGAAGTTCAATAGTGTCAAAAATAGGTGAGGAAAAGGCAGGTGTAAGCTATAGAAACCTAAAACCAATAAGGCAATAACAATTTGTACAACCAACCATCTGACCTTAAACTACTAAATGGGGGATGGAAGAAGGATCATGAAATGCAAAACAGAATCCTAGTAATTATGGTTGTAGATATACCATATCTTCATCAATTGAGATTGTTGTGATTTTGGAATTTATCAGTACTTTGGCATAATAGATGTCAAGGGTCAATATGAACAAGTGTAGCATTCATTCAATTCAATGAGACAAAGAAATTCTTCTAACATAGGATCATCCTATTTAACTAGGTTACTATCAAATATGCACAGGTTTTTATCAAACAGTTTCAAATCACATGCAAAACAATAACAGCAGCAGAAGCCTTATCCCGCTAAGTGGGAATCACATTAAAAACATCAAAATGAATTCTGAAATAAGTGAGTTTTCAAAATTACATGGCGAATGTCTGATAGATAACCCTTTCCAAGTGAAGTTGATGTGCCTGTGAAATCAAGCACATCATCTATCAATTGAAATGCCAGTCCCTGCAAATCATAGGTAGGAAATGGAATTATAACATACAGATAAATTCATAGACAAACATAAATCAAGTAAGAAACAAACAATCATAAAACTAAAAAGTCCCCAAATACAGTGCAGGACACTGATTTTATTTTTTAGGTTTAGCATATTGCCTTCTTGCCCTCTTCCGGAACTTGTCAAACTTCAGTTTGGAAAGCCAGAAAATCCGTACTAGCCCCACCATCAGTGTTCCAGAAGGGAGCATAGCAGTGACCACAGGCGTGGTGCGACTAGATTAGTGATGAAACATGAAATATTTATGTTCAGCTTCATAATGTTAATCAGCTTAAAGAAAATTCTTTCTTCGAAATATGATAAAGAGTAGTTTTGAGTTTTTTTTTTTTTTTGGTGAAAAGGTTTGAGAGATGTTGATGGTTGAGTAGTATTCTCTTTCCTAAACATCCTGCAGGCTTCCTCCAATTCTCTCTCTGCAAGGAATCTCACCATCGCGTATGCTATTTCCAGTGGAGTAGCAACATATTACTAGCTTTGAAAAGCATACCAACCAGATTTTTTCCGTAATCAAAAGCCAACATAGCAACTTCTGCTGTATGGCCCCCAAGCAGGGCAATTGCCTTACAACTATTTGAAATTAATGATGCAGTCTTGTAGTATGTCTTCTGCATATAATATTCCATACTGCAGATATGAATGACTGTTAGAGAGGTGCTGACGTGCTATAGTAAAAGAAGGGGGAAAAAATGAGAGAGAGAGAGAGAGAGTAAAGAAACCAGAGAATCAATTACACAACATTCATCAATGATCTTTCCATCCATCTTACAATCTATTTAGAATGATAACTAATCAATCTTAGCTACCGACAACTGAGTTGGTTTATAAAGTACAGCCTCCAGCTCTAGCAAATATTTTACATATCAAGAAGTAATGAACCACAAGTACCTGAATATCTTGGAATTCTATGCATTTGTAAATTGTTTGTGTTTATTTGGGAAAAAAATTAATTGAACATTTACTTCTCATTAAAATGTATGAATAGATTGACAGAATAACCATGTTATGTACAGCATTAATGCGTATATCAATAATAAGGTCAACTCTTTCAGCAAAAAAGCAGATGTATGTGACAGAAGTACGGCTCAGAATAATACCTGCAACGTTGATCAGATGTTGTACTCATTTGCATGGTCTCCCCTGTTACAAGATGTTCTACTACTGTTGCCAACAAAGATACAACCTACAGATGCACAGTCTTTAGGCTGATCAACAGTTTTAAGTAAATAGATAAGTAATTGTGAACATCGTCAAAGAAGCTATGTCTTCACAAATACAAGAAATTTACTAACCTCTGTGTTTTTCAGCGAAGCAAGGGCAACACACGCCCGAGAAAGCAAAAAATCTCCTGCTAACACTGCCAACTGCATCAAAAGCACAACAGGTATATAAAAAACGGTACAGAGTTGAGAGTAAAACTAGCCTCAGTGCAAGTGAGTATTGTTGATCAAAATCAAATCAACAAGTCCACTAAGTATCTGTTATATATAACATATAAGAGAAGTCAGCAAACTCTAGTTAGGTCCCTTTCCACCTCTAACAAATCTGAAACTAACTTCTGAACTGATATTGCTATAGTTCATTAATTTATTAATACTAATTACTCCCCAAACATAACAAAAACAAGCAGCTCAAGCAGGCCACCACACCGACGACAAAGTTGGATGCAGAAAACATCATGGAGCAAGTATGAAAAATATCACATATCATCTAGGCAAAAGGAAACACATACCTTATTACCCATCACAAAGTTTAATGATCCAATACCACGCCTTGTATCAGCATCATCTAAAACATCATCATGAAGAAGACTTGCCACCTAAAAAAAATTTAAAACATTTGTTTACAATGATAATTTGCTGGCCTAAGGTGAATTTTGGAGGAGGCTGGGTAAGTCATCAGCACAAAATCACAACTGTGAATAAGAAAATTTTAGTCCAAAACATAAGAGATTGACAGGGTAATTAATGATTGTTTTCCACTTTTACCCCTCGTAACAAAGGGGAGAGAGTTTTAAATGTAGGAGAAAGATGTGGGAAATTTCCGATCACATTCTTTAATAAAGGTAAAATAGGAAACTCTTATCAATTTAAAACACATTCAATAACTTAACTAACATTTCTTGATTTGCAAGAAAGATCAACTAGCATCTTATTTTATGAACCGAAGGAAGTATCAAACAACAGAAGGTACAAATGCATGGTAGGCGGTGGTGCAATTATGACCTAGTAAAATGCAAATAAATATTTTATGCATCTCTTTCAAAAAATTAGACTATCCACTTTAATACATAGAGATATTAGCAGTGATTTATCAACCAGAGTACCAAAGGATGCCACAGCCTTAATAAGTTTGATATACAAAAAGAAGTAAATTCATATTTATCATTCACATATTATTGCCAGTGATACGAAGCAAAAAGTATGCTCTTAGTAAAAGAAATTTTCTAAAGCACTAACATGGATCATCTCTGTAATTTCAGCTATGCATCGCTGCCTTGAACGCAGTTCAGTTGTCAGAGTACCTTCTAGCTCATTAGAAGGAGATGGATTAGGCATTTGCACATTCAATGCTGTTGACATTAATAAAATAATCTGCATGCCATTCATTTGTTAATCAATATCAAGTATACCAAAGTATGCACAAGATAGCTCATTAGTACAGTAGTTAAAAATCAAATATGAGATTGTTCTCACCATATATCCAAACAAAGCAGAAAAGATAGATAGATGAAATAAAAGACCGACACTGAAGAGTGGGAGGTTGAGAATAATTTTTGGAAACTAAGGTAATATAGGATGCCTAAGTCCCATATAGAGTAGTATGAGGTGAAAAAGTGAGACACCCAAACTTGGTTGCCCAACAATTAGCATCAAAGCTATGGTCGATTGCGAAAAAAGGCTAAATGCAGAGGATTTTGACCATTGAAGAAGCCAAGCCAAGTGACACAAAGTGAAGTGTCATGAAGGGTAGCCATGGAGACATCAGCTCCCCAAGAATATCCATTTGATGGAGAAAAAAGTGTAGCTGTGGAGACGTCAGCTCTATAGGGATATCCAATTGATGAAGAACAAGGCAGTGTGAGATACGCAAGTCCCAAAGTAACTAGTATGGGATGCTCTATCAAGCACTTAAGAGCATTGGTTCTCCCACCTCGACAGCTAGCTTTTAAGTGATGAATCCTCTAGTGGACTACCATCAAAAAACCAATAAAACAAATTTTAAAAAAAATGCCCATGAGGTTTTTCCTAATATGATATAATTCACGCATTGTGTATAAACATAAATCCAATGGCCTTTTTGTTTCCAAATATGTTTACATAATTGTGTGCACATGAGCATAAAATTTATAAGGAGCTTCTTGTTGTTGATTTGCCAGTGGATAGTGGATATAAAAGTGTTAACTTAAGGACCAGGTGAAGGGTGAAGAATTTTTAAACTTTCGGAGCATCATCCTAGTGGTAGTTCCTCCCAAAAGGCATGCAATATCAACCCATATCAGAGCATGCTTTTTTTTTTTTTTCCTTTTTTAGATAGTAAAACAAGATTTGCATATGATAATGAATTTTCTTACTGTGGGACGAAATCTTTTCCCCTCCACCCCCATTTTGAAAAAGTATTCAGCAGCCGAGGCAAGCTTAGGAACCTGTCACATGACATCCAACTTTCATCATGGAATATGCTATAGCTTCCAAGGATACAAGAATTACAAAGAAAGGAGTACAATCTGATACCTCAGCAACAACCATTGCTCGCAAACTATTAGCAAGATGAGATAGTTCATCAGCAACCAGCGAAAAAGGGTCAAGTTGATCCTGGAAACAGTTCATGAGTCTCAGAAAAGGGGTAATATTTGATTGAGAAGCATTAAGGTTGAAAGAAACTCTTCCCTTCTTTTTTTTTTCATTTACATTTTTGCCAAAAAAACATACTTGAACCGGTCAAGACAGTTCAAGTTGTTCCTTATGATAGTTTATGAATATCTCAGAAAACAAATAAGTAATGCAAATTGAAATCTACCCACGTTATTCTTATACGTTTTCTTTTTACTCACGAAAAACATTTGCAGACACGTATGCCACACATCACAGAAACTGAGATGGAAGAAAATTAAGGATTTTTTTTTCCTTTCTTTTGTTTTGTCCCCCCCCCCCCCTTCTAGTTTTCAGCATTCATACACCAGTATTCAGGACATGATATGAAACAGCCACCAAAACACACGAAAGGATATTCACGTGCTCTGCAGCAATTATCTTATTCTACAAATATAAAAGATAATATATTAGAAAAATATATAATCCTCTGAGAAGTGGTACTTCACACCAGTAGACAAAAGGAGATGCAAGAGGAACATACCATACCAACCTCAATTATGGAGCTGCTCTGATTATGGAACTGATGGCTAGCAATATGCAACGTTGGTAGACAGTTACAGAAAACTAAACTTCTAAAAACCTGCAACTCATGGGACAACGTACAATTAGAATCAAGTTTTGCACTATATATGGACAACCACAGATATTTATTACTCAAATTTTACAAGCATGATCCAGAAATTACCAAAACGTATTTAAATACTTTATAAGAGGAGGGGAAGCAAACACATCAAAGAATGTGCGCGCCATGGGAGAACATGTGAGTCATAACCTGTATTATATAAATATTTCGCCAGTTACATATAATTATTTGCTGAAGTAGATTCATGGTCCAAAAATTTGTATTGAAGTTTATAAGGGTTATGCTGTCTACTTCTCATTAGTCAGTATGACATATTTTATTCAAGGTATCGAAGTCCAAAGATTGGCATATGAAACTTACTAGATATAGTTAAAGTTAATTACATATTGTTTGAGTTCACAATTAAGAGAAACATACGAAAGATGTCCTTGTTGAACCTTCTAATGAACCCACAGACCTCTCTTATGGGTCACTCCGAGCTTCGCAGCTGCAGATTAGTGTAATCATCAAAGTATATCCAGCAGCAAGAAGAGTCTCTCCTCCATAAAATTACTTTATTGTGATTCAACTAGTTTTACCCTCTTAGTTTTTTTTTTTTTTAATGGACTTTTTCTCCTCTTTTGTTGATAGAAAGGAAAAGGCAAAAGGAAACAACATTCTAAAACCGGGAAGTCTAAACAGATTGTCAGCACAGTGATGATGCTATGATGCTATTAAATTGTCTTCTTCTTCAAGAAATTAAGTAAATTAAAATAATACAAAGCAATGTTCCCCCGCGACACATTGATCAATATCATCGTTCCATCAACGTTTTAAAACTACACAAACAGATGGGAAACCCAAAAGTCGAGTAAACCACGTCAAATCTCCGAAATGGCATACCTTTTCAGCTGAGTTTTCAGGAGGCTGACAAGTATGCGATAGAATAAGATGGTGATTCTGGCCTCGGCCGGAGGGAAACCACCGACATCCATTGAAGCTACCTCTGAGATTTCTAGATATCCGAGAAAGTCCCCGGGAAAATAACATCGTACAAAAAGAAAATCGGCTTCAGAAACAGGAAGAATTTGAGGTAGCCGACGAGCAGCAAGGAACGGTCAAAGAGGTAAAAACATAACCGCCTTTGTTAGAGAAACAAGACCACCACGCAGGTAACAGGGGGTGACGACGGCGAAGCTCAACCATATATCCTGCTATTCAACTTTGTTTGCAATGTTTTATGTAAATTTTATTTTAAAAATTAGAAGCTACCAATTTTTTAAATCTCAATTAAATCCCCAAAAGGAAACAATTTTTCGGCGAATGATGGTTCGAAGTCAACCGCTCCAAAGGGCGGTGAAGGAAGTGGCCGCGTCTGGCCGCCTGGCGCGGGCTTATAACCTCGTGGGAACTATTAAAATGGATGGTATTGTATGGGATCCATTAGCATTAGTATTAAGTAAAGTGCTGATAATAAGAGTACACCCAAAAAAAAAGAAGTGCTGATAATAAGAATTCCGGCCACAAATAAAATGTAAACAATAATTACCACAAATACACTAGCACCCCTAAATTTTAAATGCGTGTCCCCAACCCGCCTCGTTTTAGAGCGGGGACGATGATAAAATAATTCTATGGACATATTATTACGCATTATTAAGTAATGATAATAGAGTCCAATGTATTGGCAAGTCCATTTCATTAGATTTTCGGTCGAAATCCAGCACAGTTGTTTCTTGGTATTTGGATTGGTTCGATTTACACCTTTGCTCTATTCGGAATAGCCCAATTGAGTGACCCAACTTTATACCTTTGCTGGACTGGACCGACAATTCCGCTCTTTTTTGCCGACACTGGAGCCGCAATAGGTGAGCTGGAAGCGAGTCACCTAATAATTGTAGGGTCTCTCAGAGAAGCCAGAAGCCCAGAAGGGAGAAGGTTTAAAGATAGGAGTCGCCAGATACAATTAGGACAAAAAGAATTCCATGACATTAAATAAAATATTTTTTCGTTGTTATAAACATGTCAGTTAAAATCTTTTTAAGATGCAGAAAGAATTTATAGGTTAATTTGGAGCAAAATGAACACGACACATGGTAGACGATGATCAGATTCATTGATTAATTATTTAGTTATTGGGCATTCTCAGAAGGTGCCACTGGCATCAAGCTGCTCGAATAAAATACGTTATTTCTACTATTATCCCAATGAATACCCCAACCAAAAAAAAAACATTTTCAACAGGAAAAAGAGAGACGGTGTTTCGGAAATTACATAAGGACTAGATTTTTATGGCCCCCCACGAAGTGGACACTGCGTACGTCACGCGAAGCCGTGGAGCCATGTTGCCAGAACAATAAGTCACACAAAGCAATCGACATGTGCATTGCTCATATTTATGGCCTGATTTTTGAGTGCCTTCCTAAAGCATGGTTTGGGAGGCAAAACTATAGTTTGGATGGGGTATCATCTAAATAGTATCAATTTTAAACTAATAATCTGAAACCATGGTTTGAACCAAAATTATGGTTTGAGCCAAAACCATGGTTTTGGAGTCCAAAACCATAGTTTTAGGAGAAGTGAATCCATTCTGTTTCTGGTTCAAATTGGAGAGTGTGATTGTGCTTATCAGAGTAGGTCTTAACAATAATATGACTTTAACATCCCTCAATTATTTTTTTATAAACATATTTAATCTTATATCTTATGAATATATACACACATATTAATTATTTATTAATTACATTATCTTATGTATTATTAATTATGCTGGTAAAAAAATATATTATTAACAATTTTATTCCTTCAAATTAAAATATATCATAAAATCTATCTTTTATATAATTATCATATTAACTTATGCTTTTTTTAGTAATTTGTATATATAAAAAGTGCTTCTGATAACAACTATCCAAACACTCTCACTTCTCAGAATCACTTTTTCACAAAATATATTCTCCAGAAGCTATTCTTCAAACCATGGTTTAGGGGGTGTTTGGATAACCTCAAACCATGATTTGGAGAATAGCTTCTGGAGAATAGATTTTGGAGAGAATAGATTTTGAAAGAATAGCTTTTTCTGAAAAAGTGATTCTGATAAAGTGAGAGTGTTTGGATAGTTGTTGTCAGAAGTGCTTTTTTATATGTAAAAATTACTAAAAGGACATAAGTTTAAATGATAATTACATATAAGATATATTGCATAATATATGTTTATTTGAAGAAAATAAAAAATATTAATAAAAAAATTAATACGTATATATATTACTCCTCCGGTCCTAATTATAAGACCCAATTGACTTATTTGAAGAGATTAAGGAAGTAAGTTAAGTTGGTTATTTATAATAAATAAGTGTTGTCATTCCTAAAATATCCTTGCTAATTAAGTATATTGGCTAAAACTATCATTATTAGAAGGATTATCTTGGCAAAAATGCATAAATATAAGAGACAAAATGGATTGGGGTCTTATAATTAGGACCAAATAAAAAGTCAAATGGGGTCTTATAATAAGGACCGGAGGAGTAATAAAATAAATAAATATTTTTTTGCAAAATAATTTAATAAAATAATTAAATATGTATATATATTAATAAATAATATATATTAATAAAATAATTAAAATTAAAACGTATATATATTAATAAAATAATTAAATATGTTTTTCGTAAAATAATTTATTTTGCCAACAAAAAAATATGATTATTTCTTAAAGATTTTAAAGATGAAGAAATCCCATATTTTTTTTTTGACAGAATTAAAGAACCACACAAAAATTTCATATCAATTGTCTTCATAATAAGGTTGCAACAAAATATATTTGTCCAAGTACTTTTTTTTCTAACAACACATTATATTATCTGAAAAGAAAAAAGGAAATAAAAAGGACATGACTATTCTCGTATATAGTGAACAATTTGATCTCTAATGGAGTCACGAAGTCGAGCCATGTGAGATGAAGATTCTATTGATGAAGGTATATGTGAAGATCCAACTCCATCATCATCATTATTTTCTTCTGCATAAGAACCTTTTTGTTCAAACTGAGTGAAACCAGGATCAGAAATGGATGTTGATCTAATGAAGTTATGTATGGCCATCGTTGCACAAACAATTTGAACCTGTGTTGGAAAGTCATAGCTCGGCATGTTTCCTAAAATTGCAAACTTACTCTTCCAAACTCCAAAAGTTCTTTCAATAGTGCTCCGTAGACTTGAGTGCAAATAATTGAACGCCTCATTGTCATTTTCAAATGCAGATGACCTTCGAAAATCAGGGAGATGGTAGCTTCACGTCTGTAGGGACCAAGATATCCCATGGGTGTCGGATAGCCAGCATCGACCAAATAATATTTGCCTACATGGAATATATGATTGGTGTTAATAAACTTTGTTTTCTAACAGTTAAGCATAAATAAATTAAATTGTAGCAATTTAAAATATACCTTGAGGCGGATGGGGAAAGTTCATGGAAGGAGTTGTGAGGGCGTGGTCAAATATACGAGCATCATGCGCACTACCTTCCCATCCGGCCAATACAAAAGTGAAGCACATGTCCCAATCACAAACCGCCATTACATTTTGCGTCACTCTTCCTTTTCGGTTAATAAATTTTGTTTGCTCAGTTACATCAACAATGCATGAAATATGTGTTCCATCAATTGCTCCAATAGCATGTTTGAAAAAGGGCCAGTATCGACCACCGGGCCGTATTTTTGTATGCAAATGCTGAAATGTTGGATCTTTTGGTTTGATATTGGACATAGCAAGTCTACAGCATGCCAATAAGACATTATGAAAATGTCTACTAATTGTCTCCCCTGAATGTTGGAATCTTTCTTGCTGCATCCTACTACTAAGCGCATGGCCAACGGTATTTAAAAACATTGCAACCATTTCATGTATCCCAACATTTCTAGTTTCCCTTAGACCGTGTTGTTGCAATTCGGTGCAAAGACTGAAGAACACTTCCCTTTCCATCCTAAACATGTTATAACAACGGGTGGAATGGCCTTGTAAAACATCCCTTACCCATGCCTTGCCTGTATAAATACTTGTATGCTGGGGCTCTTTACACAAATGAAGAGAAGCGTATCCACCAACCGCTACTGCAACTTGATTAACCCGTTTGTTCCGTCGTTTACGATACTTTTCCGCAATTTTAATTTCATCAGCCATTTTTTGTCTTGTCCTGTGCACATAGACATAAAATTTAGAAACCCTGATATGAAACTACTAAACATTTAACAAGAAAATAAGTTCTTTAATTCCTACAGAAATTTGAAAGTCACATAATACAATAGTGCTGGTTACATAATTCCTAAAAATATACACAAATTATCACAATCATCTTCTAAGCAACACTAAAAGTAGTCAAATACTATAATAAGCAACACAAATGAAGTCTCAATCCTTGGTTGCATGCTTCAAGAAGATCAGGAGTTTTCCCCTCTTGTTCTTCAGAGCCACATACATCTCCCTTGCAGCTGGCTTGTCCATGAGGAGTGTTGTGCACCGGCCAAACAGATCAGGATCATCAGTAACTTCATCAACTTCATTAAGGTGCTCCATGACTCCGGCAATTGACGTCTCATAAGCACGTGCTTCTTCTTCTAGCTTCCTAGCACGTGCTTCTGAAATCTCTTCATGTTCACGCTGAGAGTCATTTTCATTTGCTTGAGCTATCCTGCTTAGTGCATCTGCTATTTTCATAGTGGTAGTGGGTTTCTTCTTCATGGATTCACCTTTTTTTCTAACCCCTAATGAGCTACTAGGTCGACTGCCACCTGTGCTTCTACCCCCACGAATGGTTTCCTGTCTCATCCCAGTGTTGCCTCCACTTCCTCTACTATTGTCATTGAATGTGACCGAATTAAACTCCCCGCTTATGCCAGTTGGTGCTCCTAAAAGTTCATCACTATCTCCAGACCCTTCTTCCATATCATCTTCAGGAACTCCTTCGCTTGGAAGTGTCATGGAAAAGGTGCCCATGACTGTGGTCCAGTTGCAGCTACAGACCCAAAGAGTTGAGTCAATTCAGCCTAAACTGAAGCCCTCTTTCTCTAAATTTCTTGTAGCCAGGAACTTCCTGCGCATTCAACACCAAAAATATAATACATTATACAAAAAACGTTAACATGTGAGAAAATACAAACTCAAATAAAGTTAAACCATTACCACTATTTTCTTCTCCCACCATTCATCAGGGGCACTAACAGTATTCCTTTCGGCATCCCATCCTAAACCTGTCTCACGGAGCAGCCTATCCCATAACTGCCACTCCTTTCGCAGGGT